AAGAGAGGCCCCTCTCAGGGCATGGGGAACAGCACGACCGGCAGCTTTCGGCCTCCAGGGGGCCCTTGCCGGGCCAGGAGGTGCGTGTTTTTTTTGTTGCTCGCAGAGGGATGGCTGCCGCCCCGCAGCCACGCGCAGATGGGGTCCGAGTAGATGGGGTCGGAGGATCGCGCTGCATCGCCGATGCAGCTTGATGCGGAGCCAGATTTTGGCCATGCCGACGGCGCCGATGCTTCGCCGACGTCGCCGATGCATTGGGCATGCGGTGCGATCCTCCGACCCCATCTACTCGGACCCCATCTAGGAAGCCTCTAGGTTTGCCGCCGCTTTTTTGACGAGCGCGTCCTGGATCTTGACGGTCCAGTTTCCCTGGGAAGTGTGCCGCGTGAGTTCGCGTCAAAGTTCAGATGGGGACTCGACGTTTCCGTGATGGCCCCTTCAGGCCAACCCGAGTCCCCCGAACCCGAGTCTTACGTTTAAGTCGGGCCTGTCCCTCCACACGAGGAATATTTCGAAAACAGTCCAAAAATAGTCCAGGGACATTTTTTTGAGCATTGTTTTTCGTTTTTTTTTTTTTTGTTGTTGTTGATATTATCCGTAAGGGCTTCGCCCCATGCCGCCAGCCCCCTGTCTCGGATAATGGGTGATGCAAAAGCTAAATCATGAGGTCTGGGCGCCGCCGTGAAGCAGCGTCGGGACGTGTTTGTTTTTCGACCCTGACCCTACGGATCTGCGTGAGGTGTGCCACCGAATTTCAGAAATGTAGCAAATCCCTGATGTTTTTTAAACCCTGACCCTACGGATCTGCGTGAGGGGTGCCGCCGGATTTCAGAAATGTGGCAAATCCCCTGTGTTTTTGGACCCTGACCCTGTCGATCCGCGTGAGGGGTGCCACCGAATTTCAGAAATAATGAGAATCCCTTCGGTTTTCAGACCCTGACCCCGCCGATCTGCTTGAGGGGTGTCATCGAATTTTAGACATGTGGCGAATCCCATATGTTTTTCGACCATGACCCAGCCGATCTGTGTGAGGGGTGCCACCGAATTTCAGAAATGTGGCAAATCCCTTGTGTTTTTGGACCCTGACACCGCCGATCTGCGTGAGGGGTGCCAGCGAATTTCAGAGATATGGCAAATCCTATGTGTTTTTGCACCATGACCTCGCCGATCTGCGTGAGGGGTGCCACCGAATGTCAGAAATGTGGTAAATCCCATGGGTTTTCGGACCCTGACCCCGCCGATCTGCGTGAGGGGTGATAAACCTGCTCGTTTGGGCCTCCCCCCCCTCGCGCGGTCCATCAACAAGGACCAGTAAGCAGCAAGAAGCAGAACTGGGGAGGGTGAGGAGGACCCCCAGGGACGGATGCGCATCTGACTCCCCACCCCCCCCTTGGGACTGCTCCCCACTTGGGGAGGAGGACCCGAGGAGGACTGGCGCGCCGGAAAAGTATCTGGGTGGGAGAGGAGGACCCCCAGAGGCGATGCCAATCTGACCCCCACCCCTCCCGGGTCTGCCGTCCGGGCTTGCGTTTCCATACTTCAACAATTTGAAAAAAGGGCGAAGTATGGGAAACGCAACCCCAGACGATTGCCCCTAGGATACATTGCGCGGGAAACGCGTTTCCCATAAATCGAATTCCGAATCATGGGAAACGCAATTTCTTTAAAACAAAAGCCGCACTCGATGGGCTGGAATTGCGTCTCCCAGAATTCGAATTCAGAATTTCGGGAAACGCGGATTCCCATAATTCGAATTCCTAATTATGGCAAGCGCAATTTCCTTTGAAAAACCGCAGTCAATGGGCCGGAATTGCGTTTCCCATAATTCCGAATTATGGGAAACGCATTTTTCTTTGAAAAGCCATACTCGATGGGTTGGAATTGCGCATCCCATAATTCGGAATTCGAATTCTGGGAAATTGCGTTGCCCGAGATTCGGAATTCGAACTATGGGAAACGCAACTTCCCTTGAAAAGCCGCACTCGATGGGCTGGAACTGCTGCGTTTCCCATAATTCGAATCCAGAATTTCGGGAAAAGCGGTTTCCCACAATTCGAATTTTGAATTACGGGAAACGCGATTCCAGCCCATCAAGTACGTTTTTTTTTTTTTTTTTTTTTTTTGTGTGTTTTTTTTTTTTTTTTTTGTGTATATATATAATAACAATAACAACGAAAAGCATATGTTTTTATTATGTATATACATAGTTATTATATATACATATATATATATATATATATATATATATATATATAGAAGGAAAGATTTGGTTCCCACAAGTCGGAATTCTGCGAAACGCAATTCCAGCCCGTTGAATGTAGTGGATTTTTTTCAAAGGGAAAGAACATGTCCCATAATTCGGAATTCGAGTTCTGGGAAACCGCGTTTCCTGAAATTCTGGATTCGCATTATGTGAATCATACTTCCAGCCCATTGAGTGCGGTTGTTCAAGGGAAATTGCGTGTCCCATTGTTCGAATTCCGAATTTCGGGAAACGCAGTTTCCCAGAATTCGGAATTCGAATTCTGGGTAACGCAAATCCAGCCCATCGAGTGCGGTTTTCCAGAGGAAATTGCGTTTCCCATATTTCGAATTCGGAATTTCGGGAAATGCAGTGACCCAAAATACGAATCCCGAATTATTGGAAACGCAATTCCAGCCCATGGAGTGCATTTTTCCAAGGGAAATGGTGTGTTCCCATAATCCGGAATTATGGGAAACGCAATTCCGGCCCAATGAGTGCAGTTTTTGAAGGGAAATTGCATTTTCCATAATTCGGAATTCGATTTCTGGGAAAACGCGTTTCCAGAAAATCTGAATTTGAGTCGTGGGAAACGCGATTCCAGCCCATGGCGTGCGGCTTTTCAAGGGAAATTGCGTTTCCCATGCTTCGAATTCCGATTCTCGGGAAACGCAGTTTCCCGTAATTCGAATTCCGAATCATGGGAAACGCACTTGCAGCCCATAGAGCACGGTTTTTCAAAGGGAAATTGCGTTTTCCATGATTCGCAGGTTCCTTCAAAAAACCGTAGTCACTGAGCCAGAACTGCGTTCCATCATTTTTTATTATGGGAAACGCAATTCCAGACGATTGCCCCTCCCGGGCCCCCCCCCCCGCTGGGGAAGGGACAAAGGGAAAGAACTCCCCTTTGACGTAATGAGGACGTGGATGGGATTCCCTCAAGCTGCGAACCCGTTCCCCGAACGCGGAAGGGTGCTCTCTCTCTCTCTCTTTCTCTCTCTCTCTCTCTCTCTCCCTCCCCCGACGGGCAGACACCCCACGCACGCCGACAGGGTCGGCGGATTTTTTGGTCCACAATCCGCCTGTAGGGGCACACGTCCGACCTAAGGCCGATCCGAGTCCCCCGAACCCGAGCATTACGTCTCCCCGGCGCAGACACGTGGCGGAGGTGCACATCCGCCCTCCCGCAGAGGACGCGGGACGGTGTGACATATCAACTGGTCCGCCGTCGGGGAGGCGTGCCCCTGTCGGCGGCGAGCGAAGGGGGGAAGTGAGAAGGGGCTGGCCTTCTCAGAAGGCTCCTCGGATGGGGGGGAGTGAGAAGGGGCGGCGCCGGGGGCGCCGCCAGGGGGCCCCAGCGCGAAGCCAAGGAATCCGCGCGGACCGCCAACAGTTTCTGCTTATGGCGCTTGTTCTTCTTCGACCCAAGACTCGGCGGCGAGCGAAAGGGGGAAGTGAAAAGGGGTGGGCCTTCTCGGAAGGTTCGGAAGTCCCCCTTCAGGCGATCGCACACATGGATGCAGGGGGCGTGGATTAGCGACGGGTCCCGTTTCCATGAGAAATCGCGGATATCCGCCGCCGAACGAAGCGGTGCCGGCCGCACTTTGAGGAGGGCACCTCCCCCGATCCATGTTTGCGCGCCCCCGACCCCTGGCCTTCTGAGAAGTTTTCTGAGCCTTTCCCGATGGCGTAGAAACAAACTTCTCGGAAGGCGCGAGGGCTTCTGAGAAGTCCCGCCGCCTTCTGAGAAGGCCTTCTCCCTTTCACTTCACCCCCTCTCTCGCCGCCGACCCTGGGCGACTGGAAAGTTTGTACCCCGACGTGCCACCGTAGGAGTACGCAGAGGTGCACCTCTCCTCTTTGCGCCGTCTTCCGTTAGCCCCCCAACAGAAGCAACGCCCGAGGCTTTGTTGGCCAAACTGGTTGCGCAGGAGAGCCCTGACCTCCTCGCTTCGCGAACAAAATCGGCACGGCGGCAGGTTGTTGGCAAGTTTCGGCTTTCGAGGCCATTTATTCGGCATCGGGACAGTCGAAAAACCGGCTTGGGCTGAACACAGGTCTTTGGAAAAGGAGTGCAGACTTTTGGGGAGCCGCGTTGTGAGACAAACGCGACGTCGTATGGTCAAATCGAGTCATAAGATCGAGGTCGGTTCGCGGAGGGTGCCCGGATGTTCCTCGTGCTTGCTCGACGATGTTCGGTTACAGGCCGTTCCAGTGATCTTGTGCTTTGGGGTGTTTTGGCCGGCGGAGGGTCCTATGTTCTCGAAGGATGGTCGGGGGGTGCTGACGGTGTCTCTGGCCCGAGGTGCCACCCGTTTTTCGCTCATCCTTGGAGCCCCCGGGGCCCTCTGTGCCTCGTGATGGGATGCTCTGGACGCCGTGGGGGCCTCGAAAATCCCGAGGGCACCTCGGGCCAGGGGCACTTCTAGCAACGCCCGAGGTGTTCTTCCGTCCCAGGTCCGACCGTACGTTTTCGGACGGGGCCAGGACGAGGAGCAATCCGTTCCAGAGCGTTTCGGAACGATCTCAGAGCGTTCTGGAACACTGAGCCGCCGGATCTCAGAGATTATCGACATCCTCACCCGAATTTGTCTTCGCCCTGGCGTCGTCTTAGCCAGACCTCTGGGGAGCCACGTTGCGAGGAGCCACGCTGTGAGACAAACGCGACGCCATACGTCTGGAAACGAGGGGGGGCTCGTGGAGTGGGGGGGGGTCCGATGTTCCTCCGTTCGCGGACAATGCTGTTCTCTCCGAGCAGGTGGCTGCGCGGTTTTGTGAAGACCAAGAGCTACATCGTCCTGAACGTCCTCGACAACGTCAGGTCCACCCCTCTCAACCTCTCCCTCCCCCCCCCTTTCCCCCAGAGATCCGACGCTCTCCCAAAATTGCAGCGGCGGGTCCGGGGCCGCTTTCGGGGCATACGGGGTCCCTCGCCAGGTCTCGGGCTCAGGTCGGAAAATCGGTCCCATAGGGAAGTGGTCCAGACCGCTGGGGCCCACGAGGAGGGAGGAGGAGGAGGAGGAGGAGGGAAGAGGAGGGAGGAGGGAGGAGGGAGGAGGAAGATGGAGGAGGAAGAGGAGGAG